AAATACAAAGAAGTGCCAAAGGTGACAAGCAACATCATTATTTCAACGATCCTAAGGAAGTCTTCAAGACCTTTGATGTTCTTCTAGAAAGGTGGTGAGTATCTTTGCATAGTAAGTGAACCTTTCTTTTTTTTCTTCCTTTTATAAGACCACCCTTCATTATTTAATCTTTCTACCTTTCTATTTTTTTCCTCTACACTAACAAATTTTTCAGCCAGTGTCCATAGCACTTGAAAGGTCTCGGTTAGTTCTTTTAAGAACTTTACAAGAGAGGAACGAGTGGAAAAAGGCTATCGAGTGTGTGAGATCAGAAGGGAATTACAAAAGCTAAAGATATTCCCGAGTGAAACACGAGTGCTTGAGTGGGTGACATCGCAATTTTTTTGGAGTGACCGTGAGGTTTTGTTGTGTGAAATTTGGTAAGGTCCTAATTTTCACTTTTCAAATTTTTACTAACAATGTTATTTGATCTTTTTCTTCCCAAGAATGGAGAACATTCAGCAAAGAGAGAATGCATTTCATACTCGTTGCCATATAAACGGTAAAGATGGCAAAGTATGTCTTGTAGCCATTGATAGTGGAAGTTGTGCAAACCTTGCTAGCATATATGGTAGAGAAGTTGGGACTTACAACGTTCAAACATCCCAGTCCATATGTTTTTCAAGGATTTAATGAAGATGAAGAGTTAGAAGTTATAGAGCAAGTACTTGTGCCTTTTTCAATTGGGAGATATGAAGATGAAGTCTTGTGTGATGTTGCTTCCATAAATTCAAGCCATCTTCTTTTCGGTCGACCTTGGCAATTTGACAAACGAGCTGTTCATGATGGATTGACAAATCGGTATTCATTCTACCACAATGAAAGAAAATTCATCTTGATCCATTATCTCGTAGCCGAGTGAATGAAGACCAAACTCAACTGAAAAAAACATTGATGAACATCGTGAGAAAACCAAGACATTTGGAGTTGAAAATGAGAGTGTGATTTTACGTGAGAAGGCCATTGGAGTAATCAAAAATGAGAGTAAGAGCATTGAGAGTGAAGATAAGTGTGTTGTAAAACTGAGAGTGAGATTGAAGAGAGAATTCAAACAAACGAGCATGAGAGAAAAGAATGTGAGGAGAAGGAAGTTTTACTTTCTACTAATCAATCTTTTCTTCCTATTCTTTCATTGATTTGCAGGTTATTCCAAAGGCCATATCATTGCAAATTGGTGAATCACATTTGTCCATTGAAGTTCCAAAGGTTGAAACATTTGGTATTCCAAAGCATGTGCTCTTTGACATTCGAAGTACATTCACTTCATATTCAATATTCAATGAACCTTATGAAAGGGAAGTTTCACGAACCAAATTCCATTCATGAACCTTAGTGAATCTTGTACGTTCATTCACATTGTTAATGATGTTTCATGTTCTAACTTATTTCTATTTGCATCACATTGAATCATTTACATGGAAGTGTTCTGCTTGTGATCATCAATTCAAGGAAAAGAAACGAGCAATATCCAACTATTCAAGATTCATAATGTGGAAGGGTACAAAGACTAAAGTTGGCATGCCTTACCTACTTGAAGGATTCAAAGAAAATCATGCATACCCTAATAGGCATAATGATCTTCATTCATCCTTTCTTACACCAATGGATCAATCAATGACAAAAGCCTTCGATTTGAGGACAAATCGCTCTAAAGAAGGGGGGGAATGATGTGATTCATGCCAAGGACCAAACTTCTTCAACACATGATAACTTCATGGACTTCTACCTTGTTGATTCTAAGGGAGTCTTACCTTTTTATTATTTATTTACTCATTTATGCATTACATGTCACGTGAATATGTTATCTTATTCTTAATTTTTGCTTGAATATTATGCTGTCATTTATATGTAATATATGATATTCATGCATGACTTATTAATTCACATCTTTATATAACTTATTCAATGCATATGCATTCATAGTTAGCTCATTTGCATTATTAACATAGGTGGAATAATGCATTTATAATTATCATAGCTCAATTATCTAATTATTTTTTTTCATACTTTGTCTAGGTTCATTGGATGCTAAGAAGACTAAAGGCAATTGAAGAGTTGGTTGGACAGTTCACGTCTGTCAGATTGATCTACATTTTTGAACATGTTCCAAGCATCTTTGGGTGATGAAGTCTTCTTAACATTTAATCCCCTATCTCGTATCTTTCTAATTTATTTTGAATCACATCAATCCAATATCGGGAGCTTGAGATATGTCCAGATTACTGAAGACAGTGCATGCTGGAAATTAATACGGGATTTGCAACCATTCATCTCCTTCAAAGGACTTATGCATGGGAGGAATTAATGAAGACATGCATGGACGAGAAAAGAATATTAAAATGAATCAAAACATTTCTGAGGAGGTTCAATGATTCATTCAAAGGCTTTTAAATTCATCCATTCATGCATATTCATACAAGAAGCCAAATAGTCATGTTCACACAAGGGGAAGAATTTCAGCCAAGATACATTCATGAACATTCATCCATAGAAGACAAATCAACAAGTTCACACAAGGTGGGATGAATTCGGCCAAAGGATGTATTCCATTAAAAGATGAACATCCATTCATCAAAATTCATTCACCTAAGCCATGCTTTGTATCTACTTAAAGTATGAACACTCATCCATGAATGTTCAATCATTAAATCTTGTATGTGCATCCTAGACATCTCTTAGCCTAAATAGCTTTCCATTTCATTTGTAAGGGGCAATTCTCTTTGTTTAATCAAATATTTGTGAGAGTTTCTCTCTTAGTTCTTAAGTGAACTTTATCGACTTATCAAGCTTATGCTTGTGGCGTCACCCTATCTATGTCACCTGATACTTCTGGTTCCTATCTCTTTATAGATAGTGGGTCAAAGTCCTTTTTACCATCCTTAAAGAAGCAATATAAAGTCTGGGTCTTTGTTCTTTAACATTGGTTCTTCTTTGAGTCTTCTTTGAGATACTACTTTTCATATTCATCTCCATCACCTTCATTCTACTTCCATTACCATACTTCATCATTTCCTTTAAACATATCACCAACTTATATATATTTCCGCTGCCATATTTATCTTTCCATTTCATTACTTCCATTTAACTATTTTTTTAGCTTTCTTGTTTGTGCAGGATCCTTGTTGCTTTCCTAGATCGAAACAATCAAAGGTGCAACCTTGACTTCACCATCCATCCAAGTGAGGCTAGGTTGAACTATATCAAGGTGGCACGATTTCCCATATACCATCTTGAAAGGTGACATTCCCGAAGTTGTTTTGAATGTCGTTCGATAAGCCTAGAGAACTTCATCCAGCTTTAGGGAGCAGTATTTTCTTCTAGGATTCACCATATTCTCTAGGACTTGGTTAATCTCTGGGTTGGACACTTTGGCTTGCCCATTGGTTTGTGGGTGATAAGTTGTGGCAATTTTATGTCGTACTCCATATTTTTGTAATACCTTAGCAATTAGCTTGTTATCAAAATGAGTTACTTCGTCACTGATGATGGCTCTAGGTGCTCCAAATTGGGTAAAGATGATCTTGTAAAGGAACTTGAGCACGATTTTAGAGTCATTCCTCAGTGTGGTTGTGTAGTTCATTTGTGCTTCATTCAAGGTACATTTAGAATAATATATAACATGGAAAATTTTACCTCTGCGTTTCCCAAGCACAACTCCCACGATAAAATTGCTCGTATCACATATTAGCTCAAATGGTGATGACCAATCGGGCGGAACCACAATGGGTGCAGAGATAAGTCTTTATTTCAGCTCGGTGAATGTGTCATGGCAATTTTTATCGAACACAAAGGGCTGATTTTGTTGAAGCTGTGTGCATAAGGGCTTGGATATCATGGACAAATCCTTGATGAATTTTCTATAAAATCCAGTATATCCAAGGAAACTTCTAATGCCCTTGACTAATATTGGTGGAGGTAGCTTCTCGATCACCTCGATTTTGCCTTTGTCCACTTCAATGCCCTTAAGAGAGATCTTATGGCCTAGTACAAAGCCTTCTGTCACCATAAAGTGATACTTTTCCTTATTCATCACGAGATCGACCTCATCACATTGCTTGAGTACATTTTCCAAATTGTCGAATCGTTTCTCAAAGTCATTTCCAAAAATGGAGAAGTCATCCGTAAAGATTTCTAGAAAATCCTCAACCATGCCAGAAAAGATAGCTTGCATGCATCACTGAAAAGTTATTGGGGCATTACAGAGTCCAAAAGGCATCATCCGGAAAGCATAAGTGCCATAGCGATACGTGAACATAGTATTCTCTTGGTACTATGGTGCGATGATAATTTGATTATACCCCGAGTATCCATCCAAGAAGTAGTAAAATACTTTGCCAGTCAGTCGATCCAACATTTGTTTGATGAAAGGCAAAGGGAAGTGGTCCTTCTTGGTGGACTTGTTTAGTTTGTGGTAGTTCATGCATATCCATCTCCCAGTGACAGTTCGTGTTGGCAACAACTCATTGTCCTTACTGGTCACTACGCTTGTTCCTCCCTTCTTTGACACACATTGGACTGGACTCACCCAAGAACTATTAGAGATGGGGTAAATCACTCCGCATCAAGCCATTTGAGAATTTCTTTCATCACTACTTTATTCATGATTGAGTTTAATCTTCTTTATGGTTCTATGGATTTTCCATGGCATTCTTCTAGTAGGATTTTGTGCATGCAAATGGTGGGACTTATCCCTTTGAAATCCTCCATAGTCCGTCATAACACTTTCTTGTATTGTGACAAATCACTTAACAACCTACATTCTAGGTTAGGAGTAAGGGCAGAGGAAATAATAGCAAGTAAAGTTTCATTACTATCCATATAAACATATTTAAGATGTTGTGGCAAATTATTTAACTATAGGGTAGGTGCATGTTATAATAAGGGCTTCGGAGGAACAAACTCATCGAAATCAAGAGGTTTAAAGCATGTACCTGAGCTAGCTATGAGGTAGCTAGCCTGTTTCACCTCCAAAGAAAAGTCATTGGACACTTAGACACTTTCTTTCTTAATAAGTCTCTCATAATTTCCAGCTGAATGAAATTGTCATGGTAAATTTGATCAACTTCTTCTGCTATCAATGAATCCGCTTTGAAAATGTTTTGGCATTCTTCATACTCATCCATGTACTTGAGAGTATGGAAAACATTAACGATAACATATTGGTTGGCTACTCTCATGGTGAGCTCACCCTTCTTATAGTCGATAAGAATACGTTCGGTAGCTAGAAAGGGTCTCCCCAAGATTATGGGTGTTGTGGCATCAACTTCGCAATCCAATATAAGGAAGTCTATTGGAAACAAAAAATTGTCCACCTTTACAATGACATCCTCGACTTGCCCCTCGGGATGAACATGAGAGCGATCGGCTAGTTGCAAGATAACAGAGGTGGGTCTTGCATTTCTTATTCCAAGTTTCACGAAGCTTGACTTAGGCATTAAGTTCACACTTGAGACAAGGTCATATAGTGCCTTCCCTACATAATTTTCTCCTATCGAACATGGAATGATAAAGTTTCCATGATCTTGCATTTTTACCAATAATTTACATAAGGCAGAGCATTATGCTTTTGCCGTGACAACTGTCTCGTACTTCTCAACTTTTCTTTTCTTGGTAACAATATCTTTAAGGAATTTAGCATATGTTGGCATTTGTTCTATAGCTTCAAGAAAAGGAACATTGATGTGGAGTTGGTCCAGAATGTCGACAAACTTCTTGAATTGAAAATCATCATTATGCTTCTTCAGTCTTTGTAGGAAAGGACGTGGGGGTTTGACTTCCTCTAATGAAGAGATGGGAACAACATTTTTCGTGGCATTTTTGTTTGGTCCCTTAATTGCTTCACTAGATGAACCCTCATCCTTATCCTCTTCTACTTAATCTTTTCTGGCACTTCATTCTCAACTAGTACAATGACAGGGGGTAAATCATTCATCTTTTTTCCCCCAAACTTGTCTTGCACAATTTTGGTGCCACTTCGTAGAGTGAGTGCACTACATTGCTCCTTCCCATGAGGTTTTGTGACTTCAGTGTCACTCGATAGACGACCTGGTTCATGTTCTTACAATGTCACGACAATTTGACCAACCTAACCCTCCAACACCCTCAGAGATGATCTATGGCTTTGAAGCAAAACTCCTTGGTTTTTATAGAGGTTGTATGGTCTTGCAGCATGGTCTTCGTGGTTGGTATAAAAGCTTGCATTGTGGCCTCCAAAGAACTTGTGTTGGATGAAGATGTCATTCACTTGTTAGAATTATGAACTTGTGTTGGATGAAGATGACATTCACTTGTTAGAATTATGCCATGGCATATTCCTTTGAAAACCTTGGAGGTCATTGAAATTCTACTGCCTAGTGGGCTAATTAGTAATGTTGTTTCCTTGATTTCCCCATAAGAAGTTTGGATGTTGATGTCATCCAAGATTATAGGTGTTAGAACAGGGGTTGTTGTTGCCTCGATTGTAATTTCCTGCATAGTTTATGTATTCCTAATTGGTCAGACACTCATTCTCATGGTGATTGCCATGGTATAATAAATATGTTGAATTGATCCCTTAACTTCTTTCACCTCTCTTGGTCTTTACAAATTCTTTAACATATTTGTGATAGCAGCAAGTTGGTCGGACACAGAATCCTTAGTGTCTAACTCGAATGGTCCATGTGATTTTGCCCAATTTCAATCCTTGTAGATGGGAATTGATAATCATTGTTGGCAATCTTATCCAGAATGTCGAATGCCTCTGCAGGTGATTTATCGAGCGATGTCCTATTTGCCGAGGCATCTAGCATCATCGTGGGGTTTTACTCTGTTATAGAACATTACCACTTTAGTCCAATCTTGAAAACCATGATTTGAGCATTTGAGAAGCAATCCTTTATATTAATCCAATTATTCATACATTGATTCATCATCAGCTTAACGAAAAGAAGCGATATTTTTCCTCAGTTGGGTGTTCATGTTCGGTGGATTATACCACAACAAAAAACTTTTGCACAAATCATTCCAAGACTCCATCGAACCCACTAGAACACCACTCAACCAAGACCTTCCTCGGTCACACAGAGAATATGGAAACTTTATTACATCTTCATGCACTCCTTGTTGTCAGAAAGAATTGCTCTCCTCCAAGAAGTTATGAATATGTTGTCTGGCATCTTCATTTGGCATGCCCCGAAATGGGTTGCCTAAATATCGGGTACCATAATTCCTGGATTTAATTCGTCCAAGATATGATTTAAGTGATCGCGAATGGCACGAGGCCTGGCTGTATTCCCAGCATTTGGAATTGCCTCTGCATTATGATATTCCTCATGACCAATACCTTGATTTCCAATTTGATACATGTTTGCACGTTCAGTACATCTTGTTTACCGAAACAACCTCTCAATCTTAGGTTCAATTGATTCTAATGGCTCGTCAGGGTGTCTTCTAGTCATACACCAAGAAAAAGTAAAAAAAGATAAGGAAAATAACAAGTAAAACTATATAAAAATAAAAAGTAAAATAAAAATGCTATGAAAAAACTAATTAACATACAGTTACCAATCCCCGACAACAACACCAAAAATTCGTATGTGAATTGTGACTACTAAATATGGTGGCGAAAATATGTGCAAGTATACACAATCGAACAATTAATACAGTGATGAGTGAGTAATCAAAGCAATTATCTACTTTACCTAAATATAGTTAGTATTGGTATATAGAAATGAGAATGCTGTGGAAAAATGAAATGGATGTTGGTGGGAATGGAATGATGGTGTAATATAATATGGTAGCAAATGAAGATGTCATGGCAAAGAGGATGGAAATGTCTTGGTAAAACTAAATTGAGTGTAGATGAATCAATTGAAAATGCAAGGCAAAACGAAATGTAAACATTGGATTTGAATAAAATGACTTTAAAATACTCACACAACAAGCTACTACAAGAATGAATAAGAGTCACCTAGGAAACTTAAGTCTAGCTTCTCAGGATGGTTTTACTTCTATCTCTAGTCAAGGGACTCGACGGGTTGAGGATGCCATGGCAATACCTCTTGGTGTTAACAGGTGCAGGGATGCTATTTGTTCAAATAACATAATATGACAATACCACTCAACGTCATCACTAGCATCTAACCTCTCGATCGAGCACTACTTCTTTTAGCCAATTGAAATACTAGCCTTATATCTAAGGTTGGATTAGGTCTATTTACTAACTAGAACCCATTGTTTATGTGGATCCTCCCTAGTTTCTCTTGAACACTAAATATATGTTATTTAGTTATTCTCTCAAACTCTAAGCATTCTCCTAAGGAATGGATACTCTCATATCCTACAACCTTAAGGCATTAAGTATCATAAGTAAAACAAATAACATCATAAAAAACAACCATCCATTAAAATAAAACTTAAGCATCCATAAGGAACTCCCATCAAATAAGACTAGTTTATGATGGGGTTTGAATATTCCAAGAAATAAGGCATGAAATTAATCCGTTCAATACAACCCAACTAAGGTAAATGAAACAAACAACAAAGGGATGGAGGAAAAGCCTTCGACGTGCACTGCTGGAGTTCCCCTCGGCCACCACGAACAACCCCATCTCGCTAGCTCCTCTTGGACGCCTAGCTCGCCACTCCCTCTAGCTGTTAATAGAGGAATGTCATGATAAAAAATGATTAAGGGAAAAGGAGAGACCTTTTTCTTTTTGAAATTAAGCTCAAAACGGCGTGTAAAAGTCCCTTGAATCTGGTGGCTTCATCTCTTTTTTACAGTGGGGAATAAACCTAGGAATTTATGTTAAAATTCCTAGGATACCTCAAACTGGTCTCCTTCATATGAGAGGTAAGCAGAGCTGGCATTGGTCCCTCTTCAGCAGTTGGGCGTGGTCCCCTCCTGGCCAACTTGCGTCTGGGCGTACGTGACAGGATCAGCCGACCCAAGTTGCAGATGTTCCCTTTAGTGACTAACTGTTGAGGACATGTGAAGACAATAACATCTGGCTTTTTAAAATATCTTCTTTTATTTTTTTCCGCTTACAAAATGTTGTCCGTGGCATTTGTATTCTGGTCAGCATTCTTATCATGTCACGACAATTCCCTTTTATTATCCTTGCTCCCAAATCCTGTATCATTAGACAAAAACCTTCCCCACAACGTAGCATCATTTACAAAAAAAATGTCACGACAAAATATATTTCCACCACATGCAACTATATGCTCCTAAATGTATATATATGATCCTATATGAGCTCTTAGACAATTAATAACTTAAGTGAAAAGGCCCTAAATATGGTCCTTTTACATAGTTATCAATCTTCCCTGAGTAAGTGGAAAGCCTCCCTCGATTCAATCTTCCCTGAAGAATAGTGGAATGAATCAACGTCTCCATATATGATTTCCTAAAGAAGTAGTGGAACATATCCCCTCTTTCATACTATATCTTCTATGAATAGCAGTGGAAAAAGTCTGCCTCGATTCAATCTTCCCTGAAGAATAGTGGAACGAATCAACGTTTCTAGATCTGATCTACCCTGAAGAAACATCAGAGCATGTCATCTCTTTTCAGACTCCATCTTCAAAAATTTCTCTTGAGATATTCATTTCCAGACTCGTTTGAGACAATCAGATCGCCAATTATAGATTTGACCAGGGAAAAACTCACTGTCTCTTCGTTTGCCCTATACTTGTTAACACAAGAATGAGCAAAGAGGGACAACTGTCGACACCCATTTTTGTCCTAACATTATTATTATTATTATTATTATTATTATTATTATTATTGTGCAGGCCTATACAACCAGCCCAAAACTCATTCATGCATCAACACAATAGGAAGTGCCAATGTAAGTTTAAGAAAACTCGTTCATGTACAAGAATAGTATGGATTAAAGAGTAGAACATTATGATAGAATTGTGTTGAGTTAATCGATCAACGAAATAGCCAAGAGGGGGTGAATTGACAATTAAAATTTTGGTGGAAGCTTTAGCAGAAAATAGAAAATATTTGCACAGCGATTTAGAGTGGTTCGACTTTCTCAACCAAAGTCTACATCCACTACCTTAGCTATCCACACTAAGGATTTTCCAACAAATTCACTAATTTTTTCTTTCTTTTGAGGATAAAGAGTAACCTTACAACTCCCTCAAGAATTATACCCCAAATTCTTGAGAACACTCTCCCAAAGAGAAGATTACAAATTTTGCAAACTTATAGAAAAACCTCACTAGGTAAGATGTTTGCACAATTCTAGAACAAAGAAAGAACACTCAAGAATGAATATAATAGATCACAAATGGTTTTCTTGAAAGAAAAATGAATATTGAATGAAAATAGGCTTGAAATGCTCAAACAATAAGGTTTGATGCTTTCTCTTTGATTTCTCTCAATTCTTGTTTCTTGTTTTGATCAATGGCTCTTAAGCTTGTTTAAATACACCTTCAATAAATTCTGAACGTTGGGGATCATTTGTGAAGTCAATAGAGCCGTTATGGTATGAAAACCATTAAATAAAATAGTTGGGGGCATATGTGTATCGATACA